AGGAAAAACAAAAAATATATATTTTAAAAAACATCTAAAAGCAAATTACGTGTTAAAATATATAATTTCTTAGAACTAAGCTGGAAAAATAAATATGAAGGTCAAAAATTATAGAACACGAGGTAAAGTTCTCGTTTATTAATTGGTGCATTTTAAGTGTATTTATTTATTTATTGGCCCATTATTTATTTTGGCTTTTATTTCTAATTATGTAAGTTTCAGRCCTCCACACTATGCAGTCATTAGAATGTGGTAAAAAAAAGCATCCCCTTCTATCATTCAAGTTGCTCGTCCCTGAACTAGATGTGCTGATTAGGCAGTTTTATACAGTTAGCATCCACTTTTGAAAAAGATTAGATTGTTTTAACTTAAAATTTAAATAAAACAGACCATCATTAGCCAATAGCCTAGCCTTTTATTTATTTCTTCATATGCTCTATCATCACTGATAAGCTATTGATTATAGACACCTGTGGAGCACARTTCCCCCCATGTTAGAAAGTGGGTTTTAGAGGTTTAGCTTCAAAACAAAATGCAATAAAACAAAATCAGCAAGTGTTCTGGAAGCATGTGCTGCTCACAATCTAAATTTGTCTGTGTGAGAGGCTCATCAAATTTCTTTGCACAGGCTGGTTTCCCAGAAGCTGACTTCACATTACACAATAAACATTAGTGTTTACACGGAAACCCCTAATGTATTTATCTAGAATTCAACACAGGAAACTAAATACAGTAGTTGCAAATGAATGGCAGTTTAGGTTTTCAAAATACTAAAACAATGTATAATCTGCTTTGCTATAATTGCCAACTGACCATAAAAATAATATTAATAAGATTTTTGAGGATGTCATGAAAGTATTCAGCTWTGTCAGCAATGGAATGGTTCTGTGGGCTGAATACAGACTCTGAGTCCCAACTCTCCTCACCAATATGGGGGAAAAATGGGGAATTCCCAGCATCCTGCTTGAAACATGAAATTGCTTGAAAAAAATTTCATGTTTACTGGYATTTCTTTACACAAGCAATCAGAGAGTGGTGAAAGAGTATTTTCCCACAAATACGCAACATGGTGTTAAATTACATGTCACAGTGAAACAATTACTCTGAAAAACAAAATCTTTTTGATTGCTTTCAGCTTTTTGTACTTAWAGCGTTAGGTTGTAAGGGTGAGGGAGAACTGAGACTTTTGAAMTGTAGCTTCCTGTAAATCATTAGCCCACCTTCTCTAGCTGCAACAAATGAATGTGAGGCAGTAAAGCAGTGGACGGGATGAATGGCAAGGGAATTAAAAATACCTGCCGAGGGAGGGGGGTGGTGTGGAGGGGGGTGAGAGGAGGCGTGTGGCGGGCTGGCTCGGGTAGTAGGTGATGTCCTGGGTGCGAGCGATGTACTGGATGAGGTCTATGTGGTGCGTGTCYTTGTTGTCCTGGTCCATGCTCTCGCTGGCGGCCCGCTGGCGCTGGAACTGTCTCCTCTTGGGAGAGCCTGGCCCACATCGAACACGAAGAAAGAGCAGTGAGTTTGACAAGTTGTGTGGCAGCAGGAGCAAAGTGACACTTAATTCGATGGAAAGCTCCCACCAACTGGTGGGATTTCTGCGGGGATGMTTCTGCAGTTTCTTTTTGGTCTCTTGATACGAAAAAAAAGAAAAGAGACGCTGAGGACGTGCAGGGAGGAGTGTGTGTTTATGAAGGATGAGTGGAGCAGCAGAGAGGATTAAATCAGGAACCCAAACTGGTTTGGAACGATCAAACTTTGTGTCARGGAGCCATCTGTCTTGTACGTGCGTGCATGTGTGTATGTGTTTATGTATAAAGCTCAGTCAAATGGCAGCTCACAGTTGGTTGCTGTAGCTTCCTGCTAAACCGTTTTCTGTTTGCCATAGAAGCATGTTAACAAACACAAAACAAAAGAAATGGAAAAATACAATAAAAAATGAAAAGTGATGGTACTACTCAAAATTAACATTTTTCAGTTTTATACAATGTTTTATGGCCATTCCCTCATTGCTTTGACTCATTCATGTATGCTTGAGAAATCCTTGAATCTCCTCTGGTAGCCACGTGGAACTGCCAAAAGGCTTGCTGGTACAAAGCACCAACTATTTACCAAAAACTCCTCCCTGGAGTTCAGTCCCCAACTGAGCTCCTGCCCCACAGAGGACCCCTCCCCAACACAGCTCCACCAGACTAGCAAAACCTTTAATCTTAATAATGGTGGATGTTCATGATTTCATTGTAAACATAGCTTCATAATGATCTATATTTAGAGTTTCTTCACAAAAATAGTTTAACGTTAATGTAAATGAATGAGAGGAATACTGGGAGATATATTACTAAGCTGAAATGTCTTGTAAGACARTCTGTACTCGCTCCGGTTCTTCAGAAAACCTACWRTCCGGGTCCGACGGGATCATTTAAGTAAGGTTCAACTGTCTCCTGAGTTGCCATTTTCCAAAACTGTTATTAATATTGCTTTTTTTTAACAACAAAATGCAACACCCCTACGAAAGGTTGTAAACGGCATGAGGCACTGCTGTGCTGAAGTGGAAGTGTCGGAAATGGTAGGAGGTTCTTAAAGAGTCAGAYGTCAATTTCAAGGCATTTAGATAGGCTATGARGCAAAGTCAAATTTATTTTTCATATGTACAGCATTTCCATAATAACTGAAGGTAACAAGTTACTTGAATTGAACTATGTGCCTGGAAAATACATAGTTCCCCCACTTTAATATACCATTTCCATATTATGGCTGAGCTGTTAAGATTTGTTGAGTTTTCTCACTGCATTAGCTCAAATGAATAAAATAATGGCTCTGAAATTTACCCGATACCCTCCATTACCTCTCGTGTCCAGACTGGAGGCTCTCTGGCTGCTGTCCAGCTTCCACTTCTTTATCTTGAAGTAGGGACTGGCTCCCTCCAGACTGGCATGGCGTCGAAGTTTCGTGAGGAACTGCAGCACGGGCTTTGGGCTCCCTGCGCCACTGCCGGCAGGAGCGCCGGTGTTTCCTGCAGTCATCCTGTCTTTCACGCCGGCACTGCTGCCTCTGTCCCAGGGCTTCACTCCCATTATCTCGGTCTGAGCAAAGACGCAGACATGTGGTTATGCAGAAAACCTGCCCGGGGGGCAGTAGAAACCTCTCAGACAGACATTAGTAGCGAACTTACAGAGCTGGAGCTCGTCTCCTTGCTGCTGAGAAGTGCAGGGTTCTCACAGAAGCTGGTGTCCACCATGGAGTTGAGAGCATCCCCGGGGAGGGCAGTACTAGGGTTCACACTCAGGCTTGTCAGTGCTGTTTGTGGCAGGGGGCAYAGCACCGGCTGAAAGGAGACACGCGCATAAAAGTTATCTTAAAAAGCATCAGACGAGCATATGCCGCATGGTTTTTATATCGCTAAAGACCTGYAAGATGGAAAGWGCTGATTTAGCGACAGGGCGTGACGTCAGGTTGATGGTGTTTTCGGCCGAGTCGCATTCGTGGATGGTGACTATCTTGAGCGCAGGAGGTGGGATGTGGAGGTTTGTGAGACGGGCATTCTTCAGGTGGTGAAAATCACCTTCAGTCAGAGTGTACCTGAGGTAAACAAGAAGCCGTGATAGAGTGAGAGTTACATAAGCTGAGAGAACTTATAATATGTTTTAAAGGGTCAATATCTTGTAAAATCAACTTTTTTGAGTTTTATATCATGCTATAATGTTATACTCTCAACAAAAAAAAACATGCCCAAAGCCTTGCTTTGACTCATTCATGCATGTTTGAGAAATCCTGCAGCGTTTTTAGGAAGCCATGCTGAGGAGCAAAACGACAGGTGGGGACCAGAAACGCCTCTGGGTTGTGGCCTTTTGGGACAAGCTCCTCCTCTGGAATGTGTCTCCAAGCCGAGCTTCCTCATCACGGAGCACACCTCCCCACCCCCCACCCCACACACCGCGTCCATGACTCCTGCAGGCTCTTGGCAGTAACAAAGCAAGTGTGAAACTGAAAGTGAAACTGAAACTTTCTGCTGCTCCTAACACTACTTCTCACTCAGTGAAGCTCTTTTCAGATTCAAAATACCTTTGAGGAAATGTATTTTCAGATGCCAAGTAAACTGCATCATAGCGCATGCGCAAACTCTTTTCTACTCCTTAGCATAGGGAGGAGTGAACTCTCACATTAGGCATTTACCAGGAGCATGGTCTGGTAACATCTGTAGCATGAGAGCCTCATGAAAAAGGCATTTAGCTAGAGGAGAGTCTTCAGTTTTCCAAAGCCTTCTTTCAGCTGGTGCTGCCTCAGGGCACCGTGCCGAAACGTGGTTTTCTTGTTCGTTTGTTTTACACTACGTAAATTTCATGAACTTCGTATGCAGTGTACGGGTGATTGCAATTATTTTATGAAGCCAAAAGAAGACACYAAGAACAAACTGTGCCAGCTTGGACAGAGGTGTGTAGTGATGTTACAGCTTCAGTAGCTGTTTTTGTTTTCACACATTTCTGAGATGATTTATCAACCAGTAAAATTTACTGTTATGTGTTATTTGTTTGGCCTGATCACAGCTTCATCAAATTCTGACTGTAGCCTGGAAAAGAATTCCTTTTGACAAAAGTGCATGTCAAAGTGTTGACTTTTCGGGGAAAAAAATGGAACATCAAAAAAAGAGAGGTGGAGACAGCTCTGTGTCCACAGCATTCATAATGCACTGTTTCTTCCTACGATACTAGCCCAGAAGTAAGTTGGACACGGTAAAATATTTACACATCCTTTGATCTCGGAATTGCCGTAAGAAMTTAGCACAAGAACTGAGAACTGAATCTACATTTGGAGATGTGTGCTGAGCTGGCTGTCTGACCTGCGGCCTTTCTCCTGGGTTTTCTTGCCATGATCAAAGAGCGCAGCTTCATTGAAGGAGACACGGCGGCCTGTGGGACCGGTGGACAGGAAGCGCTCCGTCTCTTGGTCGTGAGAGCTCGTCATGGACAGGCAGTCTGACTCATCCACCCTGATAGTGATTTCTACCCAGATATAAGGAGACAGCAGAGATAGGACATGGAAGAAAAAGAAGGTGAAGGAGCACTTTAGAACAACAAAAGCAGCACAATTTTCATAACCTCCAAAGACTAAACCTTGTTTATTTTGACAACCTGTTAGGGGTTTTCTACTGTTAGTCAGAGGAAGTTTTATCCAGTGAATTTTTTCTGTCAAATGTCCAGATGTTCATTGTCCCCACTGGTCCCTTTTCCACTAGTACCTCTACAGCTGGTGGTGGTTATGCTCTGTTAAGCTATTTTCCAGCCACCATTAAGCACAGTAGAAGAAGATCCCGAAAAGATATGCAACACAACAATGGAGGACATGGTAGCATTGTTACTGCAAATGGCGGATTGGGTTGTTGTGAGAGTAGRTCTTGTGATGCAACCAGTGACTCCACCCACTAACCAATCAGTGATCAACAGTCTTCTGATATTGGTTTTTCAGGACAGCAGTGTACACTTGGAAGCACAGTGAAGTCAGGTCTAAAAAAGGGGCTGGTTCCCAGAATCCTTGCTAATGGAAAAGCTTTGGAACTGTGGAGAGCCAAGTCGAACCATCCTGTAGAGGCGCTAGTGGAAAAGGGTCACAATACGTTGGTTTTGGGAAAAAAAAATACTATAAAGATTATCACAGAAAAAGCACATAAGATTTTTTTTTATCACAAAGTGTTATCATATATCATACACATAAGCATATTGTATGTGATTAAAAATACTCCTTGAGATTTTTATCCCAAATTGCTAAACACACTCCCATCAGATGCAGCGCTCCCTTTGTGGAGGAAGTCCTCTCTATAGATCTACATTCAGCTTACAAAGTCCTGGGACAGGTTTTTGAGGCTTGTCTGTCCTTTATAAGGTGATGTACTAGATCAGAGGTCCACAACCTTTATGATCAAAAGAGCCATTTGTGCTCCGTCTCACTAATAAAATGTGTCCAGAGCCGCAAAACAAGCTACAACTGTGATTATCAACTGGTGGTCCATGGGCCTTTTCGAGGCCTTTTGGGAAACCTTTATGGTCAGTGGAGGTGACATTATAAAACTAAAAAAATGTTATTATAATTATTTAAGTTATTATTATACACATCAGGACAAATAAAAAGACCATATTCATGTACTCAAGAAAAATACTGTATTTAGTTTATACTGAATTTTTTAAAAACTAGTACAACTGAATTATTCAGGCATATTTTTTCTAATTCTTCTTATTATGTAGACTTTAAAATTTTTAAAGGTAATTCTGATGGATTTAAGAGAAAGATCATAGAAATACATTGGAATATTTAAGTAAGCAACAGGCTAGCATGAGCTAACATGTTTTACTTTTTGTATTAGTATTTTTGTATTGATCACATATTTGCATATAAATTGATTTCTGTTGTGGGTATAAAATCAAAAAAAATTATTATGTTATGTTCGGCCACATTTTCAAAGAGCCACTGTAGAGGCACCAAAGAGCCACATGTGGCCCCAGAGCCACAGATTGCAGAGCCCTGTACTAGATGAACACTGTTAGATTCTGTTAAGAACTGGTCAAAGAAATTCATTCAGCAATGTAGTAGCTGTTTAATATTGATCAACTGAATGAAAATATTTGTAAAAAATAAAGTGTGGAAGGTCAAAATAAGGAATGTTTGAGCAACTCTGAGGTGTCACAAATGTCATACCAAAATCGAAAAAAAAAGTGTGAGCTTTTGTCTTACGAGCAATTGTCCATACACCATCTAACAGTTGATTCAGGCAATGTTGCAGTTTTATTACTTCTAGATTTGAGCTCTGCATTTGACACTGTAGATCATCAGATTCTCTTACATAGATTAAAACATTGTGTTGGCCTGCGAGGCTCAGTATTCGAGTGGTTCAAATCTTACTTAGACAACAGAACCTTTTCTGTTCATCTGGACCAATCATGTTCTGGGGCTAAACCTTTAAAGTATGGTGGCCCCCAAGGGTCAATTTTAGGGCCCATTTTGTTTATCTTGTATTTACTGCCTCTTGGTCAGATTTTCCAAAAATTAAATGGTTCCTTTCATTGCTTTGCAGATGACATCCAGATTTATTTGCCCCTTAAATTGCAAAATGGTACAAATGATTCTCTTCAGCTGTTGCTAAACTGTTTAGCTGAAGTTAAATTATGGATGGAAAAAAACGTTCTTCACCTTGATGAAAGCAAAACTCAGGTTCTACTATTTGGTCAAAAACTTCAGACTACAAATCCAGATCAGATTCTTGGTTCCTTGGCTCGGTCTTATCAGACCTCTGCTAGGAATCTTGGTTTTACTTTTGACAACTCTTTAAAGCTAGATAAACAAGTTAGCTCTGTCGTCAAATCCAGTTTTTACCACCTTCGGCTTTTAGCAAAAGTTAAATCTTACTTCTGTTTTAAGGACTTTGAAGGACTCATCCATGCATTCATAACAACTCGTCTGGATTACTGCAACTCTTTGTATAGAGGGATGGATAAATCGCAGATTCAGCGACTTCAAATGATCCAGAATGCAGCAGCACGGCTTCTCACAGGAACCAGGAAGCATGACCATATAAGGCCAATTCTGGCATCTTTATACTGGCTACCCGTCTTTTATCGAATAGATTTTAAGATTCTTTTGTTAACTTTTAAAGTTTTAAATGGGTTAGCCCCCCCCCATCTTCGGGACCTTTTACATTTCCAGTCTGTGTCCAGAACCCTGCGATCAAATAATCAGTTATTACTTACAGTTCCTCGAACTCGACTTAAGAGGAAAGGAGATCGAGCTTTTTCTGTTGCTGCTCCTGTTTTATGGAATAATTTACCTTTCCAGATTAGATCTGCCCACAGCCTGGATCATTTTAAATCGCTTCTTAAAACTCATTTTTATTCTTTGGCATTTAATTGATGTATTGTTTTTGCTCTGTTTTGTCATTTGTGTTGTTCTTGCACAGCACTTTGGTACAGCTTTATGCATGTTGTAAAGTGCTATATAAATAAATTTGYCATTGACATTGACGTTGACATCTACAACAGGTAAGATAATAATTGTTCATCACCTTGCCAAAGAACCTGCATCAAATGATTTGAGCTATACCTTTTAAGGATGTAGATTTTTCCATTTGGCTTTGCTCTACATTTAACTAAAGGCCATTCAAATATGCTTGTTTCAAATGGGTCTTTTTCTCCATGTCATGTAAGTCTTTCCTCTGTTTCTGTCAGGAATGTAATAAAGTGTGAAAATATGTGGCCAAAATAGTTCACTGCAGATCTTAGGCTCGTGTCAAAATACCACAACTTAAACAGCTTCAGCTGAGATAACACCATGTATTGTTAGTTCTAGACAAAACATCCCATCTGTTAGTCCGAACCCTCTCCTTCCTTGTCCCCTACCCACTTACTGCTCCTTTTGCCTCTCCCTTATTCGCCCGGTTTCCTCTTACCATGGGTGGGCTGAGACTCCTCCATGTACGTGGTGGTTTTCTCGGGGTCATCGCTGGTCCTGGGGCACACAGTAACACTGATTAATGCTGTGAAGTCTGCCTCTCAGCTGATGTTTTAGGGGCTGACGACGCAGTCTGTACATTATAGGATTAAACACACACACATACATCTTCCAGGTCTTAGTTAAAATAAACMAGAAGGATTTAACATTAATGTGACAGAGCATATATTACACATTCAGACTCKTTTCTTTCCATTTGAYCATCTTTATTAGCTACCTCTTAAATAATCCCATMCAGACGGCTTGCTTGATGAGACAGAATAAAGGAAGGGAAAGCTCTTCCCAGCTGTTTCTCTCCATTTTATTTCTTTGTGAGCTGATTGTCTGTGTGTGTGTGTGTGTGAGTGTGTGCCTGCGTGGGTGTGAAGTGGCTGGAGAGACATCTCCATCCACCCAGATCTGTGCTTTTCCTTGCCTTTCATTTCCTCCCAGGCTCCTGTTTCAACACACACAATTGTTGAGTGCGTGCATGTGTGTGTGTGTGTGCGCGCYCGCGCGTGCGTGCGTGTGCTGGTTGGGTTGAGACGCAACATTAATCAGCGCCGATGGCTGCTATGAAATCTCATTACACTCAGCAATTGTACCAGTCGACCCGATTCTCCTTTTTCATGCCTCAGCTTCGGCGCTCTCTGTTTATCGGCACCCTCGTGTGTTTGAGCGGCGGCGCATGTGAGGGACACGAGTGGCTCGGAGGGTTAGCTGTTTTAGCGTGAATAAACACAGATGATTCACAAATAAATGGTCGTGAGAGCTGAAAGGTGTTGTCATAACAGCCCCGCGGGCAGTCCTGACATCCAAACAGCAGCCGTGTCGCGTGAGGWAGTGTTGCCATGTTTCACTTTTCTTACACATATTTATTTATTTATTTGATATACTTACAATCCAGCTTGTTTCCAGATTCTGGATAATAGTCATTCTGATTTTGTGTGAGCTTCATTTGCAATTGCAATGAGCTTCATTCATTATACATATTCCATATAAATACCAGTCTTTTCTCTCTCTCTCTCTCCCTCTCTCTCCCTCTCTCTCTCCCTCTCTCGAGCAGCTCAGCAGCAGCAGCCTCCACTCAACACAATTTAAGCACTCTTGTAAAAACACCACCTGTGCATCTGGCTCTACAGTACACACTAATATTCCGTTGGACTGCCTTTAGCTTTGATTACAGCACACGTTTATACAAGGTTTATTTTCATTCAGTGTTGAATTAATTTTTCACCAAGATCTTGCATTGACGATGGTAGAGTCTGACCTTCTCCTGCACATCCCAAAGYTTCTCAGTGGACTCTGTGGAGCCAATCCATGTGTGAAAATGATGTCTCATGCTCCCTGAACCACTCTTTCACAATTCCAGCCCCATGAATCCTGACATTGTCTTCTTGGAACATGTCTGTGCCATCAGGGAAGAAACAATCCATTGATGGAATAACCTGATCATTCAGTATATTCAGGTAGGCAGCTGACCTCATTCTTTGAGCACAAAGTGTTGCTGAACCTAGACCTGACCAYCTGCAGCCCCCACAGGTTTGTYCAGTAGGCACTGTGCATCACATCACCTGCCTCTCTTCTTACCCTGATGCTCCCATCACTCTGAACAGGATCTGGACTCATCAGACCACATGACCTTCCATTGCTCCATGGTCCAATCTTCATGCTCCCCAGCAAACTGAAGCCTTGTTTTCCAGTMAGCCTCACTGATTAGTGGCTTTCTTAAGGCTACAGCTGTTCAGTCCTAAACCCTTGAGTTCCCTTTGCATTGTTCCTGTGGAAATGCTCTTAATGTCCCTGTTAAACAGAGCCCTGAGGTCTACTGTTGTTTGTCTTTGATTGGATTTCACCAAATGTTTCAGTGATCGCCAATCATGATCATTCAGGACTTTTTTTTTCAACTACATTTCTTCCTGGAAGACGATGGTCCCCACTATACTTCCAGTTTTTAATAATGCGTTGGACAGTTCTTAACCCAGTTTTTGTAGTTTTTGCAACCTCCTTAGATGTTTTCTCTGTTTGATGTGTGCCAATGWTTTGACTCTTCTCAGACTGACATCTTTACCATGATCACAGGATGTTTCTTTCAACATGGTTGTTTAAGGAGTGAGAACAGACTTATTGCACCAGCTGGGGTTAAATAACTTATTGTTATAACTTGTCATATATTGTGACTTCACTATTGCTAAGGAAATAGTAAACATATTTATTCACAAACTGATTCTACTCATTGTTTACATCTTCTAATGTCAGAAAAATAACTTCTTATCGCTGGCATGTTGACTATTACTATTACTACTGTTATTACTACTACTATATGACAACAGCTGTCATATTATGTGACCCTGTACTAATTTAATAACAGTCACCATGTCAGTGATCAAAAGTTGTTTTTCTGATGTTAGAGGATGTAAACAATGAGTAGAATCAGTRTATGAATACATATTTTTACTATTTACCAAGCTACAGTGAAGTCACAATACAGTAAATGACAACAGCTGTCACATTCTGTGACCATGTATAACAGTCAACAGTTGTTTTTTTTTTTCATTTTTTCATATGTCTTCAGCCTCTGGCTTACACTTTTGGCGTATCGTATTTTTCTTTGTGGCCAGGTTCGACCAAGTTCTCTTGTAGAAACGCAACAGCACCCCCTCTGGTCACAATATACGTCGGTCACAAAATATGGTATAACAACGGCGTTGATAAAATGTCCATGTGACAATATTTTTTTAATTTATAAAAACTAAACAGTCTACAGTATTTTTACGGTCTTTGTTTTACAGGTGAAGTAAATTTTTATCAAATAATGTCTAATGATACAACTAGCCGGGGTTCTCCAAGTTCACCAGAGTTTTCAAGAGTGCYGAATTTAGTCTTTTATTGTGTTGGATTAAATCGAAGGAGATTTAGGGAATCAACATCATAAAATATAATGAAAATCAATACACGCTCCTGCAGCKTCCAAATCAGCTGTGTTCAGTTAACTCTTGCTGAAGAACAAGGCCAACAAAAAAGAGAGCACTGCGGGCTTTATAGGGTCATCATCTATTACAGTGCCCCTGTTATTAGATTATACAGCTGCTGCTTTTATTACGTCCTCTCCTTTTATCAACACTGACTGTTGGTCTCACATCTTTTCCCAAGCTCATAACTCTAGACCAGGGCTGCAAACAAACTGATTAAAAAAACACACACACACAACAAAATCAAAGGAGCTAAATCTACTCCTTAAAAAAATCTTTCACCTGGGACAGAATCGCCCTCCTTGACAGCAGCGACGACAAGTGATGAGGAAGACCGCGATGGAGATCAGCGTTCCTACCAGAAAGACGGACAGGATCACCAGCAGGAGGATGWAGCCATTTTGCTGCTCCTCAACCTCGAGTGGGATCTCCTGAGGCGACAAATGTACCAGGAAATAGTTATCAGTGATTTACAAACTATCAGCTGACACCTGTTAAAGAAAWGTAAAAATAGCTAGCGTTTATTTATTGCAGCTGCCTAGTCAGCTTGTTAGAAAGTAATACATATTTTATTCATCCACTTATCAGAGTATTTAAAGTGGAGCTAAATAAATAGTTTTTAAAAAGGAAATTAACTAGACATTAATAAAAGATACAGTCTGCAGTTAGTTAAAGAAATACAAAAGTAGTTAGCTAGTGTTTCTTTAATTATTTACAGGAAGCCAACTTTTATCAAAAAGTTATTTAACTAGCTCCACCTTAAATGGTCTGATAATGACAGTGTTAAACTTCTGGTTTGAGAAAAATAAAAAAGATTAAACGTTTTCACGTCTTTGGAGTATAAAATGAAAATAGAAGAACTATCAACTGATGGTTTTGGTTTTCAATATATGGCAAAATGTACACCCATTAAAATTACATTTTTGTTTATCACTTTGAAAAAGATACGTCAGGATCAGTGTTTTTTGGTTTACTGTTGGGTTTATTTCCATTTAGTTAGCATTTTTCTGTTCTGTTGTTTTTTGTTTCCTCTGTATCTCTTCTCAACAGTCATCTCCTGCACTCTCACCTGTCCCCAGTTGTTGTCCTTCCTGGTGTTTCCTCTCCATTCATCAGCCCCTGTTTGTATTATCCTTCTGTTTTCATTCAGTCTTCAGTCAAGTATTGTGCATGCCAAGTCAGGTTCTCCTCATCCAGTTTTTATGTTTATTTTACAAAAACATAAAAATGGTCTGAAGTAGAATTCGGTACTCTCTGGAATGAATCCCTTTAACAAGTGTAACAGTGTGTGCACTATTTCTGTTGCCAGCAGAGCCTGTTTTTTGTATTTATTTTTTTTAATTCAGCCTTACCGAAAAAAACCTTCTTGCTCAGTGAAATTGTTGGGCTCTTTTCCATTCATGGTTATGTTTTGAACGTTCTGTCTACAGATTGTTGGATAACTGTGGTCCTGACAAATGAAGTAAACCACCTGAGGTGTGTTTAGGATTATTGTTCTCCTGTAGAAGCTCTCCTCTTAGCATCTTCTGTTTTTTTTACTTTGGTTGGTTGATTTGTTTCCCCAGAGTTTACAGGTTGTTTCATTTAATCAATTCATCCATTTAAGGGTGAGTCAGTATTTGATTCACTGACTGCCAACACAGACTCAGTGACTCACCTCTGTGCTMAACAGGTGGTATTTTTATTTCCTGTTGCTATAATAGGCATGTGATCATGTAATTGATTGTGAATGTGCTTATCTGTTCCTTTTCACGAACCACTTTGACYGAAATTTTGCYACTAATTAACTGAATTTTAGTCTTATATCTTGTACTTTGTGATGAGTTTAATCATTTATTTTAACAGTTGGAGAATCAACAAGTCTCTTGGAAGGAGTATTTTTTATCACTTCCCCCACACTAAGACGCTGGCTAACATCTGGATTCCAGTGATGGGACTAGCTGAGTTTGATCGGGAAAAGGAGCAACCATGTCCTTAATGTCTGCTCCAAATATTAAAGACCAACACAGGACCACCATTATTCTATCTCTGCACCTTCTGACCCTAAACAGTTACAGTTAAAACTTATTATGTTTTTACTGTGCTGCTAGCTTTATTCGTAGCCTCATACAGCGCTCTGCTACAGTCACACATACGGTGAACATTGTTACTAACACAAATTTTAAACATCACCATTAAATTTCTTTAAAGGGATCCATGATTAGTTGTTACATTAGACTTTATTTGATCAACATTTATTTTAACTGTAAAATAAAGACTGTAAAAATACTGTAGGCTGTTTAGTTTTGATAATTTTTAAAAATATATTTTAACATAGACAGCGCCATTTTATTTACATGCAAAGCATTCTGGGTGAACGATGACGTGGATAGGTCCTCAGTGTGAGCGAGCTATATCCACCCTGAAGGTTAATCTTGGACAATATCTGATGATCGACTCTTTTAAATGAAACCAGAGAGCGTTGACAGAGAGGAGAAGGTAGAAATGAATCAGACTGTAACTGAAAATATAGATGGAGGACAACAGAGCTGCTTCATGGAAGAAGAACCTCAGCTTAGCCTGTTAGCTTTAGCGTTAGTGCCGACGCTATATTGCCTTATATGTACTAGCTCAGAGCTAGTGCGACAAACAAGCTAAACTGAGGTCCTCCATCCATATTTTCAGTATCAGGCTGAGTCATTTTTGTGTTCCCCTCTCTGTCATGTGGCTGGAGGGCCTCAGTGACGAGAGGAGAATGTGTAGCGCTGAGCTAATACATATACTATATGGTGATAGTGTTGGGGCTAATGCTAAAACTAACAGGCTAAGCTGAGGTTCTTCTTCCATGAAGCAGCTCTGTTGTCCTCCATCCATATTTTCAGTTACAGGCTGAGTCATTTCTACCTTCTCCTCTCTGTCAACGCTCTCTGGTTTCATTTAAAAAAGTTGATCGTCAGATATTGTCCAAGATTAACCATCAGTGTGGATATAGCTCACTAGCAGCCTCGCACCGATGACCTATCCACGTCAATATTTACCCAGAATGCTTTGCGTGTAAATAAAATGGTCCCATCCGTGTAATATATTTTTTAACTTTTAGGTTAAAAATGATAAAAACTAAACATCCTACAGTATTTTTACAGTCTTTATTTTACAGTTAAAGTATTTTTTTATCAAATAAAGTCTAATGTTACAACTAATCATGGATCCCTTTAAACATTGCAGAAGCGGTGGCTTGAGTGATAAATATAAACAAACACACACAATAGATGCGGCAAGCTAAGCTAGAAGATGTGTGTCAAAGACCTCGACCCTCCATCACCTACACTTTCCAGAATTTCCCGTTACCCAGATTTGTCAAAATTCACCGTCTTTTTTTGTTATGACTTTACCTCTGAATCTCTATGCTGATTGTACGATAATTTGAGAGAGCAGTAGATAATGTATGACGTCACAATTGGAGCCTGCTGAAGGTAATTTTGTAACTGATTAATTGAATATTAGATGTAGTATTGTATTTTTTACTTTCTGATCATTGCAGCTTTAAGGCCATAACAGAATAAGAGTTGGTGTGTGTCTTATCATGTGTTCTTTCTTTAGTCTAAACAACATGGGTTACGTTCTGATGTCTGACGTAAAAGGTAACARCTCRAGGGATGTAACTAGGAAGAGATGAACATCATAAGGTCAATTCATTATTGTAAGTTGTCAGTGTGTTGCAGAGTCTGCTCAGAGCAGAGCTCCTGTGTTTTGTTTTGGTTCAGTCCAAGGTCTTAACGCTGAGGCCTGTGTTGCTGAGTGCTGTTTGAACCTGAGTGGAGTCAGAAGACTGAAAATGTTTATTCGGACAAACCAGTTTGAATAACAAACATTTTTCTACAATTTGGTGACCCCGACGTGATGGATAATCTTGAATAAGTAGAGAACATTAGATTTTATTTTTGGCTGTTGAAGAACCTGAGAAGATTTTGAAACATCATCTGCTGAGAGTGAYMAAAAGCTTCAAGATSCCTCCTTWCTTTTCCAAAGAGGATTTCTGCCAGCTTCTCCAAAAGGTGACGGTGTTGGAGCACAAGATTCATCATCTGAAGAGATGAATGCTTTGGAGAACTCAACATGTGTTAAAATGGGTGAGAAGGCTGAGAMGAGAGATCAACTGGACCAGGAGATGGAAGGTGCTTCTGAGGGTAAAYCTGTATGGAACTCTGTGCCAGACCAAAAAATCTCTCAGGACGGATTCAGCTCTTAGATGACAACAAATGGCCAGAGTTGCAGAGAAATGCTTTTTCTCCACCAGCAAGGAGAAGAAAGCAGCGACAGGCTGTAATCAAAGCAACTGATAACGGCCAGAGAAATGAAGACGAAGCAGTCTTTCTTCAAAACAGATTCACACCACTGGAAGAAACTGAGTCTGAACAAAATTCATTTTCTGATCTTAGAGAGGGACCAGATCCAGATCCAGCTCAAAGCCAAAGCAAGTCCAAAGAGAGACTTTCAAGAATCAAGAAATGCTGATCATCACAGATAAAATGGTGAATGAGATCAGATGCTTCTGGAAAAAGAAAAAAGTCAAAGTTCTGCATTTTGCTGACAAAGTGTCTGACCTCACAGAGAAGATTCTGGAAATCTCAGCAGAGTTTCCAGCTCTGAAGACGCTCATCATTCGTACAGGAAGTGATGAAGTTATGAACTGACAGTCAGAAATACTGAAGAAGGATTTTYTTCAGTTGCTGAATGCAGTTAAGAATCTCAGCATGGATGTGTTGATGAGTGGACCCATCCCTACAGCAAGAGGAGGAGCGGAGAGGTTCAGCAGACTGTTTGCTCTTAATGGATTTTTGGAAAAGTCCTGTGCTGACCACTCTGTGAGATATGTGGATAATTTTGATCTCTTTTGGGAGAGACAACATCTGTTCAAGTCTGATGAAATGACTCTGAATAGAGCTGGAGCAGAGCTGTTAGCTTCAAACATGAAGTATTTCCTGAACCAAGTTCCGGCTGGAACCAAACAGGAGAGTGATCAGCTGACGTCTGAAGCTCAAGGACAACAGCAGCAAACTGAGACACCGATGGAAAACAAAGTGCAAGTGGCTGATAAGAAGACTGCTGCAGAACCAGAACCGGAACCACAGAGAGAGGAGTTACTTCAAGCTGCTGAACCGGAAGAACAACTGGTTTCATCAGCATCACAGAGGAACCAGAAAATGTGTTCCCCRGACCCACAACTGAAGAACAACTGATCATTTCTTCTTCTCCACCAGAGGAATCAAAACCATCAACTAAGAATGAAGATGTAAGACCTACTTCCAGAAGAAGACCACAGGTTGGAGATGACATTGAGGACCCTSTATAATGAGAAAAGTATTGCTTCCAAATGTGTGCAAATCTGAAGCTTCAATGGGAGAGGCTACCGTCTGGATGGAGAGATTGTCRGATAGAAATGTGGATAGAG